AGGCAATATCAGCCCTCATGAAATGAAATTATCCACATTTGAGCACCAGCATTTGTCCAGTGTTTTCAGTGCTAAGTGTACAGAGTCTACCAGATGGTACTGTAAACACTCCAGATGTAAAATTTCACTCATAAAAAGGGCCCTCCGTGCATTATGCTGCACTCATTTAAGCTGAGCAGTATTACTTTTACGCATTCTGGCTGCTCTTAGACACCATGAAAATGCAGGCCTATCTATTCACAGTGATGAGATGCACAAAGCAGTGTATTCATCCACCACCCATGACTTGGTGACTAGTGAGAAGGGGTGAGGATTGGGGTTGTCGGGGACATTACCCTGGGACCGTTTTTTTTCCTGATCCCTGAGGACACAGCCATTGGTGGTGCAAGGAGGCAGCCTTATCAGCATGAGAGCACCCAGGGCTCTAATCGGCGGGTCCCAGAGACAGCCAGAGGTAAAGGGAGACTGGGTGAGTGAGCAGCATCCACGGAGAGAGAAAAAAAGGAAGCGGGAGAAAGGGGGGTAAAAGGCAATGTTTATACCTCTTAAGTTACATCAAATGGCAGCTGCTTTACAGTTCAGTGCATAAGTGAGTCGAAATACTTCTGGCAAGAAGAGACAAGTGCAGATTGTGTCCCAAGGCACATTGTTGATGATGAAATATAGAGACTTTGCAGTTGCATCACAAGTCTCTTAGCAGTGACAGCAGGTGACATCTTGAAAGCATTGTGACGAAAAGGTTACAAGCAAAAAAAACCAAAAAAAAAAACAACACAACAAAAAGACCCGAGAAGACGGTGATGGTCTGAGTCAGGGTCAGTTAAAACTGTCTTCATGTTAATGCTGTTGAGTAACCTGACCTTCAGTTGACTTTGCTCTATTAAACCCTGTTCTCTTTAGTCATAGCTTTCTTACCTTGCCTTCTTGAGGCAGTTCAGAAATTTGAGGAAGTTCTTAAAAATTCAAACCACAATCACGCAACTAGACCCACACTTTCCACTCCTATTCTATAATAATGTTACTTAACCTTTTCTGCCTACTTTCTTACACTTTCAAAGTCAAGTTGAGACCAAAAGTCAGAAAAGATTTGTTACTGTTCATACAGTACTGGAAATTAAAAAAGCCCTAACTCTTAATCGGACTTCAGAGTTTTGGAGGACACAAAGAAGTAAATGTTTTTTTTTTGTTTATCTAGTTAGTGTTGCAGGTAAAGTAGTTTGATCCCCTGCTGCCAGTATATTTTGGGAGCTCTTCATGAGTTTGTAATACAATGCAATGAGGAAGTGCTACAGGCAGTAAATAATAGATTCGTATTTTATCAAAAAGCTTTGATGCCTCCAGAATCCAGGTATGGTTGTAACCCCAGAGCTCACTGTGATAGAACACATAGTCTTCCATTCTCCACACCTGATTTACTGCTGTTTAAAAGAAAGACAATAGGATTGGTGCTATTGAAAATTAGTTTTTAATGTGCCACACTCATCATGTCCAATTTCATGCCCCTTAGGCAGCTGATCACAGATTTAATCAACATGTTATTGCTTGCTATACTTAAACCAACTGCAGGGAGGGCCTCTCTGTGTGCGTGTTTGTGTATGCTGGTAGGAGTGTGAAGGGGACACGGTGTTGGCGTGTGTTTGTGGGATCGAGGAGTGAACGAGAGAGGTTGTCAACATGTTCATCCATCCCAGCAACGTCCCCCTTTGATAGTCATTGAATGTATGTTCCAGGTCATTAACCAAGAGCTATGTTTGAAGATGACATGCTTGGAAGCTTGTGGTCCTGCTGTGTTGAAGGAAACCGTTGTTATTATTTTGTTTCTAGCAAAGAAGAGAGTGTCCGGGCTTCCTTCACCCGATGAATACAGATGAAAGCAGGGCTGCTGTGTCTGTTTTCTAGTCCATTTTCATAGTGCCTGGGACCTTTTTAGTATTTTGTTACTATGTGAGCTTGACTTATTTTTTAAAGCATGTTTAGTTGCTGCTGACTATTAAACATATGCTCACAATAAAACATTGTTTTAAAGCCAATGTTTAAGTGGTATTTAGATGCACTAGTAGTGTGTATTATGCATTAAAAGGTTTTTTATGTCTATGTAGTATAGTCACATACATAGTAAATATAATTGCTTGTTTCAGATGCACATTATACAAAAACAGATCTAGGCCTTGTCTAGTAGACCAAAATTTAGGTTAACTCCTATATCCTGTGTGATCATGACAGTGGCGAGCTGTAGTACCTCAACTCTCCTTGGATACATTTCCTGCAGGTATAGAGAGCAGCGTTATTGTCATTTTATCATAAAATGGATTCAAATCCAGACCTTCATTTAGACCTTTAGGTTCTCTGTTCTCATTCATTGGCAGTGTATCTTTACTGTACTGAATTTCAGTGAGGGATGTGTACTGTTAATCTATAGTCTTTAAACTAAGAATATTTATTATATTTACAAGCTTTAGATAGTTTATATGGAATTTCACCATAAAATATACATTTAGTGCACTAGGAAATAGAAGTTTTATTTTTATTTTATTGTCATTGTAACACGTACACGTGTTTGGAGACGAGGGCCCCGGGCCGCTGCGTGCATACACGGCGCCATCACGGGCAATTTGGGGGTTCAGTGTCTTGCCCAAGGACACTTTGACATGTGGACTGCAGGCACCGAGATTCGAACCTTCAACCTTCTGGTTGGGAGACGACTGCTCTACCCACCGCACCACTGTCGCCCCACTGCCAAAAAATCTGTTCTTATTTTTTCTGTTATTTATGGGCAAACGTGTCTCTTTAAAATGGCAATTTCATCTTAAGATAAGCTGGAGATTTGCTTACAATATGTTTTGTGTTCTGTTTTTTTATCTTTCCATGCTTCATTGTTGCTGATGATGACTGTTTTCTGACCCTTCCTCCTATGCCTGGCAAGACTTTAATACTGGTCTTGACCACTGCTGACCATAAAGAGACTATAAGAAGTTGCCAGGCAAAAGAGTGAGTACAGAGAAAGAGGAAGAGGCACAAAGTCAGACAACTGGAGCCAGAAAAAGTAGTGGCAGTGTTTATCTTGAACCACTTAGCTCCCTGGCTGTGAGTCAAATGTAGAGAGAGACATTGGGAGGTAGTGGAGGCCTTCATTAAATGCAGCTCAGGCCCTGGTGCAACCCTGGTTAATGTCCCTATCATCTCTGGAGTGGTCCAGCGTCTAGCTCTCTGTCCAAATGACTCATGTTTAATGCATCTCTGCAGTCCTTGTCATTTAACCTCACCTCTGGAGGTTGTGGGTCGGGGTGGGATAGCAAAGGCTCCCATAAGACCCATAAGGGGCAAAGTGGTGATGGTGTTATTCTTCACCCACTCTCCATTTACTTAACATGGGGAGAGCTGCTCTATGTCTTGCCCATTGCTGTTATCTCCCCAAAGCAAAACCCCCTCACACTATCACACTTCATGAATCTGAACTCAAGGGTGGTCTGAGCTGACTATGCGACTCTCTGAAGTACTTTGTTATTCTGCTTCCTGTGCGCTATAGCTGAATGCTTAAGCAGAGACCCCCACTTTCCAGGTAAGACTGGAAGCTGTCAAACTCCATTAACCATTTGTCAAACAGATGTTGCTGGAGCTGAGAGTTTCTGTCTGAGATTTTCTAAAACTGTATTCCTATTGCTTGCATTTGAATTTGCCATGGTCGTTAAACACAAAACCGTTTGAAATAAACGCAGTAGCTTTGAAATGAATATCATTTTTGTTTACAGAGTGGTTGGATGACACATCATACAAACTTGTTTGAAACAGACTGAGGCTTTTAAGCTTGCGGATATACATGTCCAGGGATTTAGGAAAAGCAAATGAGCAATGATTCCGCAAGATGCATCTTTTCCATAAACAGGACTGTGTAACAGGATCTAAAAGAGCTGAAATTCTTCTCTTGTTTCACTTGATCTTCACGCTGCATTTTACTCCGATTTTCTCTGCTTTCATGCTACGATTTCCTCCCTCTCACTCTCCTTTACCCTCACTTGTACTTAACACCCACTCAGTCTCTGCTTGTCTTTCTTGCTCTGGATAATGGTAATTAGAATATCGCCATGTTTGAAATTTGGCAAAGGTTGAAGAGGAAATAGGTTTTCTAATCAAAAGCTGCCTCATAGCTGGAATCCTGATGCTTACTTGGCTGTAACATGTTCTTCAATGATGGTGGCCCAAATGGATGCCAGACTGTATACTGACAGCCAGTGCCACATTTTCCCTGTGGTGTTGGATATTATACTGATATTGTAAATGAGACAAACTTTTTTTTTTGGTCAGTTTTCATTTATTTAATTGTTTGTGTCGTGCTTCAATTATTTACTGTATATGGATTGTATAATCCATATACAGTACAGTAGTTTACTGTATAATGGATACAGTGTCTGAAAAAAATTACACCATAGACAAAAGTGTGAGATTGCCAGGTAACCAGCAGAGAGAACCAGAAGTCCCTGCTCTCAAACAAGAAACAGTCTGGCATATAACCCCTCATAGAAACACAATAAACCAATTTTTATTTTTTTAAATCAAGCTATATATATATATATCAACTGGGAGGTGCTTGTAGATGGCTTTAAACAAATCAAGACTAGCTAAAACTAGCCAAATACATATCTATATGTATAAGAATATTAGCACAATATGTACAATATCTTTCTCTTCCCTTGCTTGCAATCTACAGCATTCTGGTATTAACCTCAAAAATGATACTGATCAAAACCTATTTGTAGCCAAATGCATTTGCCTTTGGAGTTGACACCTTAGATTTAACATTCAATAACTGGGTGTTTCTTAAATCAACTGTGGTCTTTTAATGATTTTCATTTGGAAGAGGGGTACAGCATATGCAACTTTTTCTTTGCCTTCTCCAGTACTGTAAAAGCATGCACCTCTGCAATGTGGCTTTGAATGTTAACCTCTTTTTCTGTTTTGTCCCCTCCCTCTACCCTTCCTTCTCTCGTCCTTCTCCGACACAGGAGCTGCACAGTACCCAGGTAAGCCATCCCTGCATATCTTTTCCTTCTCCTCAACACATCCTCTAACCATATTCCAGCTTCTGTCTTTTTAAAGACATGCTTCCTCTCCTCATCTAGTTTATCGCATACAACCAATGAGCAATCCATCTCAGTCTAAATTTCTCTCCTCCTACCTCACATTTAGATTTCTGTCTCACTCCTACATTCTCCACAGTCAATTTCTTCTGAAACTCATGCTGTTGTTATTGCTGCTGACTGATACTGTACATCTTCAATTGTTTACCAGTGTTTTAAATACCAAAAGATATAGCATCCTGATGTAGGCTAGACCACTGTGCTGCTCACAGTGTCAGTGCACTTTAGTGGTTCCTGTCAAACTCAGAAAGGGTCAAAAGCATTGAAAATCCATGCAGTAGTTCTGTCTGGATGACTGTCAAAGAGCTGTTCTTGGATGAACCTTTTTGATCTCTCTTTTTTCTTTATTAATATTATTTTGTATTATTTTTTTGTATTATTTATAATTATTTTGTAGACTCTGCTAACTCTAGCAACAATAACTTAACCATATGTTCTACTCAGCTCCTTTGTTTATTCAACCCCCTGTGTGTACTGTACAAACATCCATCCATCATCTATACCACTTATAGAGGGCCCCGGGAGTGTGTGTGTGTGTGTGTGTGTGTGTATGTGTGGGGGGCGGGGGAGGGCTTGTTTATATGGTATACTTTGCATGACCAACAAATATTATCAAAAGCAAATCAGAAAACATTTTTTAAACCTAGTCAGAATAGATAACCCAACAACAAAAAAAGTATGCTGTATAAATTGTCATGGTGCATCTTTAAGTGCCGTCGCTCCCCACTCTCCCCTACAAGCCTTTTAATCCAATTAGCATTGCCAGCACTCGTTATTTATATGTACATGAATTAGAATTGGACAGCAAGAGATTTTCCCTTGGGTCTGATTGGATGGAGCCCAGTCCTTCACAGGCCTGTTCTCGGTCACAGACTTATGCTGTTGCCACAAAGTAGCGGTGGTCTCTGCAGCTGGTTGCCAACAAAGCAGTGACCAAAACTTACACCAGCATGCGTTGCCAATGACAATCATCACTGGCAGCGCATAGATTTTAATATGACCAAATCATTTCATACTCTACTCAGCAGTGAAATACTCACACCATATTGTCTCATTTTCTCAGTGTTTTATAAAACTGTCAAGACGAAAGAAATGTGACAGGTTCAAATTGGGACACTAATAAGCTGTCTTCTCAGGGTTCAGGTTTAGATCTGTGTTTCTGTTGCATTCTATTGCGTTGGACTGAAATAGTGCCAGATTTGTGTGTAAGCTGCCAAATGTGCCTCTCTTGCCCTTTTGAACTATTTGCCAGTGATTGAAGTACTTCAGAGAGGTTGGAAAAGTCATGTTGCAATATTGGCGCATAATCCTTCAAAGGTTTTAAATACAATATGCTTCAAATTAATTTTTAGGAATTTTCAAAAGTTGGATTCATTATCGATGTCATTTTTAGTCCAGTCAAGCAGATTTCAATGTTTACAGTTATTACTCTGAAGAGTTGTTAGTCTGCAAAGTCACTTTAACATTTAATTTGTTAATTATACACTTATAGTTAATTATGAGCCAATTAAAAAACTAATTAAACATTCCAGATGGCTTCTTTTGGCTTAAACAAATAGAAATGAACCCTAGGTTTGCATTTTGATTATTCTTTATATGTTCACACTTTGGAATATGAGCCCTCCTTGTATACCAATGAATTTCAATAACTCTTACAATAACTGCTGTATTGTTGAGTAAATATCAAAGTGTTGTAGTGAGATGTTTCCCTGTTCTTCACCATATTTTCTCAAATCTCTGGAACTCTTCTGGAGGCGTGAATAGCATTCTTCTGAAAGGCACCTCCTCATTTGTTGTTCAGATCATTGGTGGTGGAGAGCTGCTAGATTACCCACCAGACAAAGCAGGCAAATATCTTTTGAGTTTTGAGTGTTGGTAAATGGTCTTATACTTGTATAGTGCATTTGTACACATTAATGCACACTTCAAGTACTTTAGACTATTTCCCATTTACCCATGTGCACACACATACAGTATACTCACACCTTTGCACACTGGTGTCATCACTGGGAGCAACTAGGGGTTCAGTGTCTTGCTCAGTGACACTTTGACATGTGGAGTGGCGAAGCCAGTTATTGTACCGCCAACCCCCCATTTAGGAGATGACCTGCTCTACCTCCTGAGCACATACAGTACGTGCCCTGATTTCGGGGTGGCTGTGGCTCAGGAGGTAGAGCTGCCGTCCCCTAACCGGAAGGTCCACATGTTGAAGTGTTCTTGGGCAAGAGATTTAACTCCAAGTTGCTCCCAATGGCCAGAGAAGCACCCTGCAGGGACAGTGCCACCATCAGCGTGTGTGTGCACGTTGGTGGCGCAGATGGCTTCCTCAGTTCTGTACCCAAGACAGATTCCTTGTGTGTAATATACAGTGGGTACGGAAAGTATTCAGACCCCCTTAAATTTTTCACTCTTTGTTATATTGCAGCCATATGCTAAAATCATTTAAGTTCATTTTTTCCTCATTAATGTACACACAGCACCCCATATTGACAGAAAAACACAGAATTTTTGACATTTTTGCAGATTTAT